AACATGTAGTACTAGGCAGTTATATGTAGTACTAGTGTTATAGTGAACATGTAGTACTGGTGTTGTAGTATGTAGTACTAGTGTTATAGTGAATATGTAGTACTAGTGTTATAGGAATATGTGTAATAGTGTTGTAGTGAACATGTAGTAATAGTAAGGTAGTGAAATATGGGGTATTGGTGTTGTAGTAATATGTAGTACTAGTGTTATAGTGAATAATATGTAGGGCATTAGGTGTTATAGTGAAATATGTAGTACTGGTGTTGTAGTGAATATGTAGTACTAGTGTTATAGTGAAATATGTAGTACTAGTGTTATAGTGAACATGTAGTACTAGTGTTGTAGTGAACATTTAGTACTAGTGTTGTAGTGAAATATTTAGTACTAGTGTTATAGTGAATATGTAGTACTGGTGTTGTAGTGAACATGTAGTACTAGTGTTATGGTGGAAATTATGTGTAGTACTAGTGTTATAGTGAAATATGTAGTAGTGAACATGTAGTACTAGTGTTATAGTGAACATGTAGTACTGGTGTTGTAGTGAACATGTAGTACTAGTGTTGTAGTGAACATGTAGTACTAGTGTTGTAGTGAACTTGTAGTACTAGTGTTGGTGAAAATATGTAGTACTAGTGTTATAGTGAACATGTAGTACTAGTGTTATAGTGAATATGTAGTACTAGTGTTATATGAACATGTAGTACTAGTGTTATAGTGAACATGTAGTACTAGTGTTATAGTGAACATGTAGTACTAGCATTATAGTGAACATGTAGTACTAGTGTTATAGTGAACATGTAGTACTAGTGTTATAGTGAACATGTAGTACTAGCATTATAGTGAACATGAAGTACTAGAGTTTAACAGTTAATTTAAGTAAAATTATCATAAACTTCCTACTCTTGAAATAATTAATGTATGAGTCTACCTGTATTATAGTTAAATATTTTTCACGTCATTAGATTATGAATACACACTTTCAATATATTAATTTCTTCAGTTAATCTAATTTCGCCATATAAATAATGGTAAAAATTGTCAGGTCCACAAAAAAATAAAAACTTATTAATTGCAATTCCAATCTAGGTTAGGTCAGGTTAGGTACCGTTTCACAGGTGGGTGGACGAGGGGTGCCTCAGAATCGAACCAGCGAACTATTAGGAAAGGTGGCGAGCACTATATCGACTCCGCCACAGCATATGTTATTTTATATTTTAAATAATGAGGAGATAGAAAGAAAAGAGGAAGAGGGAGAAGAGGAGGAATGGAAAAAGAAGAAGAACAGGAAGAAGGGGAAGAAACAGGTAAAATAATGAAGGAAGAGGAAGACAGACGTGATGAACAAGGGAAGAGGCGAAGGGTGGAGAACAGGAGAACAAATGAACAATAAATGAACATATAGAAACACCAAACCTAACCCCAAAACAAGGTGTCAAAACAGTGCCAAGCCACAGACCTCAGTTTACACGAAGTTATTAGAGTCGAAAATCTCTTATAATGCCTAAGTACCTTCGTCTCTTTTGGCTTTAATTAAATGCCCCAATTACCCGCACACCTTGGCGACGTCACTTAAGTGGTTAATCTAATAACTCTCTTCTGTTGCCACTTTTTGCCAACTTTATTAGTCTCTCTCTCTCTCTCTCTCTCTCTCTCTCTCTCTCTTTGTTCACCAGATTCTAATTATTCTCACTTTTCTCTGAGTCTCCCCTTTATCCACCCTCGTTTTCTCTCCCTTCCTCTTCCTCTCACTCATTTTTTCCTACTTTCTCCTCCTTCCTCCTACTCTCCTTCCTTCCTTCCTTCCTTTCCCATCTATCTGGACAAAATTAACTGGACAAATTGAACAATACAAAATAAACTGGACAAAATGAACTGGACATTTTCATTGGACAAATTCAACTGGAAGAAAAAAAAACTTATCCCACGAACGATTAAGAAAATCTATCTTTATGTCGTAGCGTGAGAGAGAAGAGATATCTTTCACTAAGCTACATATACCTGTAGCTATATGGACTACACCTGACCTCTCTCTCTCTCTCTCTCTCTCTCTCTCGCTCTCTCTCTCTCTCTCTCATCCTTCACTATTTCGAGTACAATTTATCAATGAACTTTACCACACTTTACACACACACACTTAACAAGCACTTAACACGGACTTTTCTGTTAAACCTCAACACTACAGTCACTTACAAGGAA